GACTCCACAGAGGTAATGGGAGAGTCCACCTGGGAGGGTGGAGGCAGGGGGACTTTGTTCTTCCTGAAGTCCACAATCATCTCCACTGTTTTCTGGGCGTTCTGCTCCAGGTTGTTACCACTGCACCAGGACACCAGCCGGTCCACCTCCCTCCTGTAGGCGGACTAATCGTTGTTGGAGATGAGTCCATAGAGGGTGTTGTCGTCCGCGAACTTGATGAGCTTCACTGAGTCGTGGCTGGAGGTGCAGTGGTTGGTGTACAGGGAGAAGAGCAGGGGAGAAAGAACACAGCCCTGTGGGACTCCTGCATTTATAATCCTGGAGTCCGGGACATTCTTCCCCAGACGCACTCGCTACATGCATCCGATCCTGTCTGTCAGGAAGTCAGTGATCCTCCGAGAAAGGGCAGGCTCCTTTTGTGGCACCGGCACCTGCCACAGCTGATCAGTGGCATGTACACAACAAGTGGCATTTAAAACGGCATGTGGGGAATAAATGGCGTGTAAAGCGGCATGTGGGCAATAAATGGCGTTTACAACGGCATGTGGGGAATAAATGGCGTGTAAAGCGGCATGTGGGCAATAAATGGTGTTTAAAACGGCATGTGGACAACAAGTGGAGTGTAAAGCGGCATGTGGACAACAAGTGGCGTTTAAAACGGCATGTGGGGAATAAATGGCGTGTAAAGCGGCATGTGGACAACAAGTGGCGTTTAAAACGGCATGTGGGGAATAAATTGCGTGTAAAGCGGCATGTGGGCAATAAATGGCGTTTACAACGGCATGTGGGGAATAAATGGCGTGTAAAGCGGCACGTGGGCAATAAATGGTGTTTAAAACGGCATGTGGACAACAAGTGGCGTTTAAAACGGCATGTGGACAACAAGTGGCGTGTAAAGCGGCATGTGGACAACAAGTGGCGTTTAAAACGGCATGTGGACAACAAGTGGAGTGTAAAGCGGCATGTGGACAACAAGTGGCGTTTAAAACGGCATGTGGGGAATAAATGGCGTGTAAAGCGGCATGTGGACAACAAGTGGCGTTTAAAACGGCATGTGGACAACAAGTAGCGTTTAAAACGGCATGTGGGGAACAAATGCCGTTTAAAACGGCATGTGGGGAATAAATGGCGTTTAAAACCGCATGTGGAAAATAAATGGCATTTAAAACGGAATGTGGACAATAAATGGCGTTTAATACGGCATGTGGGCAATAAATGGCGTTTAAAACGGCATGTGGGGAATAAATGGCGTTTAAAACGGCATGTGGGGAATAAATAGCGTGTAAAACAAATACAGTTGAAAGCAGCCTGTACAAAAGACAACAAGCAGCAGTACTAGAGATAGTGGTCCAGTGGCTCAGATGGAAAAGCACAGGTCTACGGTGTTGATGGTTGCTAGTTCAAATCCCCAGTGACTACCAATGACATTTGCTGATGTTGGGTCCTTGGGCATAACACTTCATGGAGAATGTCAGAAGTGCCATAAGCTGTTTGAAAAATGTAGTTTGAGTTATAATAAATTAAATAAAAAATTTGTTGAAAGACTTAATTTCATGTATTATATGTGGTTTAGATTCTGAAGAACTGTACATTCCTGTGGTGCACTTGGTTTATAACTTTCACTCATGCGAGAGATACCTGGTTCAATTCCAGGTCTGGTCTTTATTTTTTTGTTGTCAGATTAAATACAAATTGAATATGTATGAATATATATTTCATACATATGGTTATGTGTTGTTCCAATAGTAATCTTGCATTAGGATTAATATTGCATCATCGTTAGGGTAAAACTAAATGATGTGTAAAACACTCAAGACACAATTTTACTTAAAACCACCTGGTGAGTGGTATAGTTGGTGTGTGTCCGCCAATCATGCAAGAGTTCGCAGATTCAAATCCAGCCAAGATCAAAAACTTTTTTATGACTGTTATTTCTTTATACATATATATATCTATAAATATCTATATATATCTTTATATATATATACAGTTTTTATATAACTGCCATAAAATAAAAAAAAACGGTACTTTGATTTGATCTGCCAATCTCACGCACTATAGACAAATGTTTAATGACTGCGCCACTTATTTTGTGTTTTGGCAAAGAAAAAAACGAAAGATTCTATTGTTGTTTTAGGACATTTCATCAAGAATGGAGCGAACCAAAGATGGTGAAGAGTGATGGATTGAAAAACACAAGCAGAAAGTTGTGTAATTGGAACATGAGGTTTCATCTCTATATTGTTCAAATCTTAATTTCTGTTCTTGGACCGTTTAAGCTGTGTCTTATACTTTGCATTCTTTAATAAAAAATATATGTATTAATGCTCTTAATATGGTTTTATTAAAGAAGAGAGAGAAATAAAATGATTTTTTCTTTTTTTTTTATATATATTATATATATATATATATATATATATATATATATATATATATATATATATATATTGTATTTTATTGTATTTAATCTGACAAAGAAAAAATAATGACCTGTCCTTGATTTGAACCAGGTATCTTCCGCTTGAGAGGCAGTTATATAAACCAAGTGCGCCACTGGATGACACAAGTCATATGTAATTTAAACTATATATAATACATGAAATCAAGTCTTTCAACAAATGTATGCAATAACATATATTATTATTACTCAAACAACATTTTTCAAACAATTTATGGCACTTCTAACATTCTTCATGAAGTGTTAGGCCCAAGGACCCAAAATCAGCAAATGTCATTGGTAGTTTCTGGGGATTTGAACTAGCAACCATCAACACCGTAGACCTGTGCTTTTCCATCTGAGCCACTGGACCACTAGCTCCAGTAATGCTGCTTGTTGTCTTTTGTACAGGCTGCTTTCAACTGTATTTGTTGCCCACATGCCGTTTTAAACGCCAGTTGTTGTCCACATGCCGTTTTAAATGGCATTCATTGCCCACATGCCGCTTTACACGCCATTTATTCCTCACATGCCGTTTTAAACGCCACTTGTTGTCCACATGCCGCTTTACACGCCATTTATTCCCCACATGCCGTTTTAAACGCCACTTGTTGTCCACATGCCGTTTTAAATGGCATTCATTGCCCACATGCCGCTTTACACGCCATTTATTCCCCACATGCTGTTTTAAACGCCACTTGTTGTCCACATGCCGCTTTACACGACACTTGTTGTCCACATGCCGTTTTAAACGCCACTTGTTGTCCACATGCCGCTTTACATGCCATTTATTCCCCACATGCCGTTTTAAACGCCACTTGTTGTCCACATGCCGCTTTAAACACCATTTGTTGTCCACATGCCGCTTTACACGCCACTTGTTGTCCACATGCCGTTTTAAACGCCACTTGTTGTCCACATGCCGTTTTAAACGCCACTTGTTGTCCACATGCCGCTTTACACGCCATTTATTCCCCACATGCCGTTGTAAACGCCATTTATTGCCCACATGCCGCTTTACACGCCATTTATTCCCCACATGCCGTTTTAAACGCCATTTGTTGTGTACATGCCACTAATCAGCTGTGGCAGGTGCCGGTGCCACAAAAGGAGCCTGCCCTTACTGGAGACACTTGCAGGTGGAATCGGGCACGTTGAGCTGTGAGAGCCCCAGCTTATGCTGACCAAGTGGTTATGTTGGAGCAATTAAAATAACTAACTTCCTGACTTTTTATATTTAATAAATAACACAAATGTTGAAAGAAATCATACCACAACACAGCATGCTGCTTTGTTATCATTTACTTAAGAAAGAGCCCTGTGACTCACGCTTTACGCTGGAATCTCAGTGATGCCTTGTGGTATGCTTACATACCACAAGGCATCATAGCATTAAAAACAGATAATCAAACACAGGAAATGCAATAATACAAAATATATAGAGCCATTGGTCCATAAGGGGCAAGATGGATTTGGTTTAGATGGATTCACTTGGCGTTAACATGTGGATGGAGAGCCCTCAGTAAGGTCGTGTGATGGAGAGCTGCACTACAGTTAAAGCTGTGGGACATTTCAAACATGAAAACAGATGTTCTGCTTTACATAAAGATTGCCTTTGGGATCATCTTTGATTCTTCTTCAAGTGCAGCACCAGTTCATTCATTAATAGATGCTTTCCAAACTTGCATGTGCAGATGGGATACAACTTGCCACAACTTACAGTATTGTCAAAACCAATCTGCATTTTCCAATGGGTAAATCATTTCACGATAATATAATTACATGGCCCAGAGATATTACGTTTTCTGGTCTGATGTTAATGTAGTGCCATCCACACAACCACAGTACTATTAATATTTTCATGCTTTTGCAGGAATTACTGTATCAATGTATAGCAGCTTCCTTTAAAACACAGCAGGCAAGTTTTTCTCATTAGCTCCACCATTTTCCTTCCTACCTGTAGCTCAGGCAAGCACAGTGTGTGTCCAGACCTTTCACTTATGTATTCCGATGTTTACCTGGTAGATTCTAATTAGTTTAAAATGTATATACAGTAGGTCAAGAAAATATAGTGTCAGAGATTAAAGCTGGAATTCTAAATAAATGATGAGCGGGTGCTAAAAGTTATGCATTTTCTGGATTTTCTCACATCTTTAGTTCAGATTTTTAAGACAGAAAAGTGAAAACTTTTCTGAGAACGAGAGAGGACCAGACCTGTGTTATTCATGAAACAAAAACGTTAGGCATCCCAGTTACATGTATGCATTAATTGGTCCTCTGACTTCTTCATTGAATGTTTTAGCAGTGGGAATCATTGGGAATCAATGAATTTTGTTTTGCTGTTTTGACTGTTTTCGCCTGATAAAAAAAAAAAAACCCAACCCAAACCTGATCACATTTTTGTATTTTTTATTTCTCGACAATTCTCTTTAGAAATGCAGTGACTTTTACTAACCTTCATTGCCATCACACGCTCTCCATCCTATTCTTCTCCCTCATTTCTCTGAGGCCTTGTTGACCTTATTATAAATATTATGACCTTTTCGGTAACTGGCTCGCCCAGTCGCGGACAAGGGCACATTCCAGGTAAGTGATCAGTGCAACAAGATGGCTGACAAGTGCTTGGATGGACAGGTCTGTGGGTGGTCTGCTGCTGTCAGAGGGGGCGAGGGGGGGGCCAAGAGGCTGTTGAATGTCAGGCCCGAGAGCTTGGCCGAGTGGAATAAAGAAGTGGAGAAACGGAGTGGAGTGGAGGTTAGCCGCCGCGGTGCTCGTTGTCCAGATGACCTCTCCAACGTGCCTGCCAACCACTCGCTCCATCATGCAGACTCCAGCGGCTGAGCAACATCTGTTCATTCCACTTGACAGATGAGAGCCCAGCCACGGAAAGCAGGATGAGATGGACGCTTGATGTATCAGGAAAAAAAAAAAATATAACACAGAGACGTTTTTGTGTGTTTTTTGTTGTTGTAATATTCATACTTTCATTTTAAAAGTCTATATTATAAAAAGACATGCTGTGTTCCATGAGTTCAACAATCACAGTACCATGGTAGCCAATGACGACAAAAAATATAATTGTATAAATGTGATTTGTCTATTTATGGTCAAATTCGGACGTTTGTATTAAATACTCAGGCAACTGTGTATGTATGTTATGTTTCGAAGCTGATAAGTGCAACAGAATTTTCATGAAAGGAATAAATACAAGTGAAATGAAATGAAACTATTTTGATCATCCAGAATGCCCTCCATATTGCGTATGTAATAAGATTAGATAAATAAGATATTCCTTTGTTCAGTGTCAAAAAATATGAGCACTCAAATTGCATACATATTGTTTGAACATTAAAAACAAACAAAAAGTGTGGTCAAACTAAAGCCTAGTCTACGAAGGTCCATCTTGTCTTTGTAGTCGATAAAGTGATTAAATATGTTGATATCTTAATTGTCTGTATTTGCTTCTTCTATACCGGACAATTGTAAGATTTTATGACCTTAACATGTTTCAATTATATATTTCAGTCTTCCTCACACATGATTTACCTTAACCCAAAGAGGAGCAGCTGATGAAGAAAAAAACTACTCTTTAAATTCAACCTATATTTAGTTCCTCAAATATCTTTAACTCCTGGTTGTTAGCGTACATCCATACAAGCATACCCAAATTTGCTAGTGCTTTAAATGTAGCAGAAGTTCATCTCAATTTGAAGGTGATGTCGGACACTTCATTTTAATAATATTCTTATTTTTTACCATATGACCCCTTTTTCAATGTAACTGTATATAAAACAGTACCTCACCAGTGCTATTAGCTGGAGGAGATTATCTGTGCCTTTGTTACATGTTTTCAAATCCAAACATAAATGCCTTTGAACATAGACATTGATATAATTGACCCTAAATTATTTGGTAATATATTGTGTCAGTTTTACTTAACCTTTATTTCAGTAGAGGTTGATTGTGAAATTGACCGACAGCCTGCACGGCACTGGGAGAGGGCCTCGTGAACAGCAATCATGGCGTTCGCTTCATCAGTCATGCTTCTTTCTGCTCTATTGTTCCGTGCCGAGGATGCGTCTCTGCATTACATGCTTTGGTTGCTGTTTTGTCAGCTTGTGAAATGTCATAGGTAAATGAGCACAAAGCATTGACAAGGATGAGAACCAACACATAATAGAGCATTCATTACCCAACAGCAGCACACATGGACGACATGCTTTCTGCCTTCACTTCTATGAGCGGCGTAATGCTTGTGCAAGCACCAGGGTACTCAGCATTGTCCCATTGTACGCCCCAGGCACATTTGCTATGAGACATGCATCATTTTCGTGGGGGATGCTTTCACAAACTTTCTGCATACACAATTCCCTCCATGAACTCTATCCAACTTATTCTTTATAGCATCTGTTGTATTTGCTCTTATATTCTTGGGTTATTGCATGCGTTTGAATGTATTCTGGGACAATACTATGAGGCCGATGTTTAGATAGCACATCTGCATTCTCGTGTTGGAATACCTTGGACAAAGCCTGGTCGTACCACACCATAGTACAAATTTAATTTAGTAAAAAGGTCTGGAGGTGCTCATTATAGCTCCGTTAACAGGTGGGAGGGGTTTTCTCCTTTAGCAGATTGAAACGATTGGCTATGAGTTTACCGTGACGTTTGTAATGCGCCCGAGTGAGTCGTTAGCATTTAGTCTAACCATCCTTTGCCGCTAACGGGGAGTAGCGCCACAATCTTTGCCAGCAATGACTTTTGCTATGCATTTCTCTTGCTCCAGCTTCATTTTCCTGATAGAACTTCTTCACCATTGCCAAAGTAAAACCAGCCCGTTCGGCGCAAACTCTTGACGTCACCCACATCTAACTACAACACACATCTCCCGCGCTCGCTGATTGGTCGGATGGAATTCTACCGATGCAATAGCAAACACAGGGACCAGACCCAGACATACATGCAGGCTACCTTGGACATAGATGGACGCAATTTCCACAAAGGTCAATTTTTGTCATCACAACTATAAGGAGGCCATTATCTTTTGTTTTGACCCATGCTTTTGTTTCTGCTTTAAATCTCTACTCCAGAGTGCATTCCTTCTCCAACACTTATTGCCGTTGGTGCGGGAAACCTGATCCTCTGTAGGGAGAAGATACAACAAATCATGACATTGACATATTGCACTGTATTGATAATTTAATCTTGTCATTTATAGATTGAAAATTATGGATTTTAATTAAAACATAGTTTAAAAATTCATCTTTATTCATGACATGCCATGGACAGACAGTAGTTCAGACGGTCCCACTAAAGCCATGCACATACCTGAGGTGAACGCCCTGACCAGCAGAAGAAAAATATACATACAAAATGCTGTCCACAGTTTTCCATTGGTTCTTTAGTGGCTCCACACATTCTTTATAAAGGGTCCTGTGTCATGCCAGGCCTCTCTTTGTGGGTTCCTCTGTGTTTGAGTGGGTTTTCTCTGGGCACTACAGTTCCCAGACCATCCAAAAAATGCAGTTAAATTCTACTGCTGCAGGTGCTTTTACTTGGCCTAGGCCAAAAATTAGAAGGTTGTGAGAAAGTTCATTCATTTTTATTCCCAGTCTTTTCAGAAAGTGAAACAAGTTTAAAGTCCACAACATTTTACTCAGTGTTTTGAATTCACATAATAAATAAAACAATTGAAAATCACACATTCTTCATTTTATATTTTGGTGTGCATTTGTATGTATTTGGTTAAAAAATGGCATGAGATGTATTTATTTTTTTCCACCATAGATTGATTTAATGAATAAAAAAATAAAACACAAATTTCCAATAATTAAAAGTGCCTCCAGATGGCATTGAATTAAATGAGTTAGATTCTATCAACATGGTCACACTATTTGCAGCCTTTGACACATACTGTGGTCGTGGTGGTGGAGGATAAGATTTAAAGGTCAAAGCGAGCGTGGCTGAGACAGAGCAGGCGAATGAAGTCATCAGCAGTTATCTGGACTTCAAACACTCCGCTCCCACTGCCGCTACCTTATCTCCCCCGGCACCAGCCCCTTATGTGTGGACACTAGAAACGCTTTTCTCTCCTTCTTACAGCAGTGTTACTGGCATTTGAACAACAGCGATAAGGAAACATCTTTTAAAGCACAAAAAAGTTGTCATGGTGAACGCACTTGTGGAGTTTAATTAAACATAACTTCCGGCTGGCGTTATCTATGCTTCATTAGGACAGCGGCCTTGCTCCAGCAGACAGAAACAAGAGTATCACTCAGATCGGGGCGCAGCAGGGATGGTTAAATGAACCCTATTGTGTATATGTTCTACAAACAAGATACCATTTGGTCATGCAAGCCTATTGACATTTCCCAGACTGTTTGCTCTGTTGAAACAATATGTTGGTCTTTGGCAAGAGATGTGTTCATAAGTAAATTGTAATTATAACAGCTACATATGACTAATTAAGTCTTCCAATCTCTCCAATCTCTCTCTTTTGTAACAATTTAATATGTTTTAATGCTGTCACCCAGATATGATCTTGGAAACATTGTCGTTGGCCTTTCAGATTGTCTAATTTCTCAAATATCTATAGAATATATACTTTTGTCAATTATATATGCTTTTTGTTATTATTGTATTTATTTCAAGCAAATTGCACTTTGCTTAGGGGTGACAGTGGCTCGGCTGGAAAAGCATTGTCCTTTGAGCTTGAAGGTTGTGGGTTCGAGCCCACAACAAGACTTTCTCCACCGACTCCCACTGATGTCTGCTGTCGTTGTGTCCTTGGCAAGACACTTAACCTCTGGGAAGTTGCCACAGTGGGGCGGCTGCGGCTGTAAACTTCACCCCCATTGCTTAGAATGAGTCTGGTTGGCTTGCTTCTGTCGGTGTGCCCCAAGGCAGCTGTGGCTACAATAATAGTTTTTTACCACTGCGTATGGAGTGAATGAATAATTACAAACGTCTTTGAGTGTCCAAAAATGCACTATATGAAACAGCTGCATAATTATTATTTCTTGGTGATATGACACCATGGCTAGTGAGGATATAGTTAGTACATGTGAAATGCAAACAAATAAAACCTCTCACTTCAATCAGTGCCGGAACAAGGTTGATTTCATTTCAATTCATTTGTGTATTGCCCTACATCATAACAGCAGTCGTCTCAGAGAACTTTACGGTTGTCGATTCCCCAACAACAACAACAAAACTAAAAAAATACTGTAGCAATGATAGAGGTGAATCGACTTTCGGTTATGACCATTTTCAAAGGCATTTTTTATATTCGCAAAAATTGTGGTCTATGTTATTGCACCATCTCTTTCTAAAGTGTACCTTTGATATGGGGTATTGAAAAAGCAGAATGGAAAGTAGAATGTGTCTATGTGTCAATGTGCTTTGTGTCCCCCAGAGCCAGGCTGCCATCAGAGAGTGACACAGTGACAGGGCTTTCTCCTGAATGATGTGGGAGTGCATGAGACAGCCACTGATCCGGCCTCCAGTCTGCCCCAGCACCACCGCCTGACACAAGAGTTACTGTGGAGGTTAAACATTTAGCTGTGTGCAGGAATAGAAGTGGTTCTGCTAAAGACCTAAATCAAGTATGTCATGAAGAGAAGGCTTGTTTGCCCAGGGAAACATGCCAGCTGGAAGGATGTTTCACGAGCACAGCCCTCCATCCCTCTCACATTAGCTTATTCTGGCTGATGCTTTCAAATTGGAACGTTTGCGAGCAGCTGGTTTATAAGTTGAGGCGTTTTTCTAGCATTGATCGCATTATGACTGAGTGCTAACAGGGCACGTTTAAATATTCCTATCACAGAAAGCTGCGCTAATAA